ACCCCGCCACCACCGCCGCCGGCTCCGCTGCCCCCACAACCGCCACCTCCACCCCTCCCTGAGGGTTGGTGCGGCCGCCACGTGGGCGCCCGCCACGACGCGGCTGTGTGACTGCAAGCTGGGGGTTTTGGGACGCGGTGGAGTTCAGGCCGGAGGGGGGGTTGAGAGAAGGCGGGCCTCAGCGTCAATGATCCATTGGACCACAGTGTCAAGGGAGGCGCGGGGCTGAGCCTCAGTGAAGGCGATGACGCGCACTTCATATTGAGGGGGAGAGGCCTTCGAGGAGACGGTAGATCTGAAGGTTTGGGGGGAGATAGTCTGGCGAGCCTCAAGGCGGGAGGCAAGGTCCAGGAGACGGCTGGTGTAGTCAACAGCGCCAGCACTATGTTCGATCGTGATGCTGAAGTATTCCTTGAAGAGCGGTCCGACAGCATCGAAGTCGGTGCGTTCGAACATTGCCTCAAGCTCGAGCCAGATCTGGCGGGAGCCGATGCGACGTGCCTGGAAGTTGCGCATGAGCGCAGACGGGATGGCAAGGAGAAGGGCACCAGTAGCACGGCTGTCCGCCTCGAGCCAGGCGCGACGACGCTCAGCAAATCGCGCAGAGTCAGCGGCATAAGCGGCGGCGGTAGCGGCATGCTGGGTGCGGAGGGTTGCCGACCGCTCGTGTTCCTCCAACGCGATCAGGTAATCAGTATGGAGCACGAGGAACTCACGACGCTGAGTAAGGAAGAGCTGCTCAACTTCAGCGGTGGCAGCGCGAGTGCTGGTGCCAACGGGTTACTATGGGGGGCGAAGGTTCCTCGCCGGGATGGGGAATGAGAGGGGGGGATCGCCAGGGTGAGGCGGCGGGTCCCCAAGGTCACCCTCTGGGAGACCAAGCATGATGTCCAGGAGGCGGAACGGCAGGACATAAGCACTGCCGAGGACGCGGTGGAGGCTGCCGACGAAGGAATACCAATTGGTTGCTGAGTTGTCGGCAGCGCGCACGAGATGATCGAGGGTCGAGACGTCGACAGGAGGGGGAAAGGATGACATTGGTGACACGGAGTGGGAGGAAGGCGACGGCGGGTGGACCCGCGGTGGCCGGGAGGGAGCGGCGGCGGGTGGACCCGCGGCGGCTCAAAGAGGAGGGGAGGATGGGGATGGCTGTAGATACTGCTGCTGCTGCTGCTGCTGCTGCTGCTCCTTCTGCTGCTGCTGCTGTTGCTGTTGCTGCTGCTGCCGCTGCTGCTGCTGCCACTGCTGCTGCTGCCGCTGTTGCTGCTGCTGCTGCTGCTACTCCTTCAGCTGCTGCTGCTGCTGCTGCTGCTGCTGCTGCTGCTGCTGCTGCTGAGTCTGCTGCTCCTTCTGGTGCTGCTGCTGCTTCTGCTGCTGCTGCTACGGCTGCAGCAGTGGTAAGGCGGCGATGAGCAGGTGCAGGTGAGGAGGCAAAAGATGGGGAAAGATGGCAGTTAGCTGATGAAAATAGGACTTGGTAGAAATTTCAGTAGCACTTCGTGATCACATCCAGGAAAGTGTGCAAACTTCGGAAAGCGATATCTGACAATCCAAGCGATGAAACAGTCCGAAATTTTACGACGTTGTAGCTGACACCAAGAGCGTTCTTTTGCAAGTCAAATCACTCAATTCTGTCAACTATCGAGCGAGCTATGGCGTTTGGCGCATTGGGGGTTTTTGAAAATCCACCCAACAGAAAACTAGTTGAGAGGCGGCGGCTAGGAGTCTAGCAGCGGCGATGGAGGGGACGGCAATGAGGTGCACGTCGGAAGGGGACGGGGCGGAAGCGTGGGGAAGGATCGGGATTTAAAAGTTGGCGTGAGCCATTATTGCTCTATACCATGTTAGAAACAGAAAGGTTCAGTTTATTGATGAAGGAAAGGCATTACATAGGAAGAGAGAGATGAGCTAGGAAGGGAAGGTTGGAAGGGAAGGGGGGTTAGGACCAATCACAAGGGAGGGAGGCTCCTTCCAAATGTGGTTGACCACCAGTTGGAGGTGGTCCAAGTGTGGTGTACCACCAGTGGTTTAGCCAACCCACTTGTGGTGCCCCCACAATTGTGGTCCTTGTGTTTGGGGGCTCCAACCACAATTGGGTTGGATTGACACCCCAACACAGGTGTACACCCAACTAGGGATGTAAACACAATATACACAACTAGCATAGCATGGTATATTCTAACAGTCTCAGATTCAGTTTCAAGTCGGCGTTTTAACGAATTTCCGCCGATGCCATTTCCTTCTCAGCGGCATTTCGACGAAGCTGCCGGAGTGATTTTCAGCCATTCTCGTTGACCGATTTCCAGAATTGCCGCGCTGCACACGGAAGTTCCTATCGGTGACTTAAGAGCGTCGCTTCGCGAAAATCAAGTAGCAATGGCTTACTCAACCACTTCACTCGCCAACCCGATCCCGCTCCTTCGTCTCGAGCCGGACGGTACATGCTCCAACTACAAGGCTTGGCGCTATAGTGTCAACAAGCACCTCCTCAGTCGCAAGGTGAAGGGGCTTGAGCTCACAGACTTTCTTCTCAACATCGGTGACGGCAACGAGCCTTCTAAACCCGAGAGGTCCGTCGATCCACCGCCGAAGCAGATTATGCTGCTGCACTGCTCAAGTAGAAGAATTGGGAGAAGGCCGATGGTGTGGTAATTAGTGTCTTCATGGGCACCACTCCTCCCGAACTCGTCGAAACCTACCACAACTACCCGTCTGCCAACGCCATTTGGCTTTACCTCGAAGACCACATCCTGAACAAGACTGCAGTGGGAGTTGCTATACTCATCCCCAGCATGTTCCAAGTGCGGCTTGAGGACTCGTCAGTCATGGCGGACTATGTCACCAAGGTGCAGTCCATTCATGGTGAACTCAAGCAGTTGTGGATAGTCTTCCCCGAGCAAGCCCCTGCAGCCGCTCTCCTAGTCGGCCTCACTCCGGCATACGAAGTCACACACAAGATGCTCTTGGGCTTGCTCTTTGCTGACCTCAGTTTTGCTTAGGTCTCATCTGCACTCCTTTCTGCCGAAAAGGACAACAGCGCTCAAGCCAAGGCCAATGCAGTCCGCACTCCTGTGCCTCAGGCCTATGCCGCTTCGGCACCATTCCAACGCAACCGCTTCCCCCCGTGTCCCTACATCATCAAGCACGGCCCTCGTGCCGGACAGGTGTGTCGTGGCACCAACCACGCCCTTGCCTCCTGCTTCAAGAAGAAGGATGACGAGTGGTATGCCGTCAATGGGACCGCCTCGAAGCCGCCAAGCTGGATCGTCAATCGTGCTCCTCGCAAGGTCAATCAAGCCGAAGCGCAGGAATCTGTGCAGGCTGCTGTAGCTCCCCCTGCTGATGTGCGCCTCAACATGTTGTTCCCTGGCACTGCCATGATCAATGAGTCAATTTCGCAGTGTCCCGGCTCACAACGCACCTCAGCCACAATAGAGTTCACCCTCGACAGTGGGGCCACTCACACGGTTCTCAAGGAAGAACACTCCTTCAAGCCATACAAGACACCAATCCGTCTACTAGGAGAAGACTCCAGTTCACAACACACGCCAAGGGCTCCTCCACAGTTCCGTGCCCAGCTTTCCCTTCAGGCAGTGTCACCGGCATGTGTGTTCCCACACTACGCCACAATCTCGTGGCCCAACACGAGCTTCAACGGGCAGGCGTCACCACGATCTTCCCAGCACACTCGGATCACTATGACCTCCTTGACCCTATGTCCAACAAGCTCCTAGCACGCATCACACTCAACAGCAGCAAGCTCTACACGCTGCGTTCACCTGCACCTCTCGGTGCCCTCTCCCAAGCGCAAGCTCCAAACACCACTCCGTGTTACTGTCGCAGCTTTGCCAACCCAACCATCCTCGACCACCATCGCTTGGGTCACCCCAAATTCCATACGCTTGCCGACATCGCTTCCAAGAAACTTCTCCTTGGCCTCCAGTCGGCGTTTCCTCCACCAACAGACTCACCTGCACCCACCTGCATGGACTGCACCAAGAGCAAGCTCAGGCAGCAGCTCCCGGAAAGACTGCAGCAGAACGGCATTGCAGCGCAGGAAGCAAGGTGGCAAGCTTGGCCCCAAAACCCAGACCTGCATGTTCCTGGGGCACAACTCCGACTCCCCAGACTACGTATTCCTCAACCCCATCACCAGAAAGCGGATTCGCAGCTGTGATGTCATCTTCGATGAGACACGCCCCTTCCGCTCTGCGACCACAGGCGAGCCTCCTCCACCTCCCCCGACGCTTGTATGGGCAGACTTCGATGCCCCACCTCCGGCCGCTGCCCCTTCTCCGGGGCCTTCTCCGTCTGGCGTGTCTCACCCGGCCTCCCCGGTATCCTCCGCAGCGGCACCTCCTCCTGCTCCGCCTTCCCCGCGCGTCGAGCCCGGCTCACCAGTCTCGTACCGGAGGCGTCCAGTCCCCCGGGTCCCACCGCAGCCACCTTCGTCTCCGATCTCTAGTCGCACTCGCTCCAAGGGACCGCCTCCGCCTCTCGCCTGGGGACCAGCCGCCTTCTCCATTTAGTGTTCGGTCACTCCACCTCCTCCTGCCGGGGGTGATGTCCCTTCCATCCATATTCCACCCCGTGCACTTCTAGAGGACAGGCATGAGGAGCTGTTTGACCTTCATGCGGTCTGCCAATTTCTCTCTTACATCTTCCCGGACATAACTGACTGCCCTTCCCTCAACTTCACTGAGAACCTGACCATTCCGATTCCTCGCACAAAAGAGGAAGCTCTCTCGGGGCCTTATAAGAAGGAGTGGAAGGCAGCAATGGATGTTGAGAACGAGGCGTTCATTCGCAACAACAGCTTTGACGATGTCGTTCCCCCTTCCCGTGTTAACATCGTCGGCGGAAAATGGATCTTCCAACTCAAACAACTCCGAGGCGAAGCTCCACTGTTCAAGGCACGATACGTGGCGAAGGGTTTCAACCAGAAGGAGTATCTCGAATTCTTCGAAGCCTTCTTGTCCACGGCCAAGCTCCCGACTATGCGCGCTCTTCTTGATATAGCCGCTCGCGGCAACTTCGAGATCAAGTCCATGGACGCCTCCCCCACCTTTCTCCAAGGCCAGCTCAAGGAGGATGTTCACATGGAATGCCCACCGGGGTTTCTTGGGACTTACCCTGCCAACACAGTGTGGAAGCTGAAGCGCCCAGTGTATGGCCTCAAGCAAGCTCCTTGTGAGTGGCACAACAAGGTGAAGGAAGTCCTCCTTGCATAGGACTTCTTTCCCTCTGCCTCAGATTCCAGTCTCTTCGTTCGTCACTCATCCGAGTCCTTCTACATCCTCGTCTACGTCGACGACTTCATTCTAGTCGCCAGAGATCCAGCAAAGATGGCAGCTGTCCAGTCTGCTCTCAGCTCCGCCCTTCTCATGAAGGATCTTGGTGACCTCAAAAACTACCTGGGGATGGAGATCACCCGTGACCGCCAGGCTTGCACGATCACGCTCTCCCAGGAGTCCTAGATCGACTGTTAGAAATAGATTGCAAATCCTACTTTTGTGTTTGTACTTTTATATCCTAGTTTAGGTTAGGAATGTTCTAGTGGGTTGGGGGTGTACTCACAAAATCCCAACCTCACCCAATTGTGATCCTCCCAATCTCCAATTACCCAATTGGAGATTCCGGAGATCCCAATGGGGATTCCCCTCCGATTCCCCCTTCATCCATTCTCCCTTACCTTGCCATGGACTTATAGAGCCTTGGGCTCCTTACCTAATCAATCATTTCAGCTCTATTTCTTACATGGTATCAGAGAGACCTATCCGCACAAGCGGATCAAGGTCCTAATCTTAACGTGCCCGCGCTACGCGCACCTCATCGTAGCAACATTCATCTCGAGTCGTCGGAATTTTCGACGTGCTTGACTTTGCAATCGCGCCTCAGATCGTCGACCGCATTCGCGCTTGACCTTTTTGAATTTCTCATCTCTGAAGCTTTCACGCTTCTCATCGTCGATTTCCTCCTCGGTTCTCCTTGGTCGAATCTCAATTCGGACCATCTCTTAAAACTCGTTTTCGAGTTTCCTCTCGGACCCCGCCAGCATAGCGCGAACTCCCCTCGCGGAATTGCCTCCACGAACGTCTTCGCGTCAAGCAAGAGCAGGTACACAGGTGGAAGCAGAGCCGGAGCTGGTTGTGGACTGGTTGCGGAGCTGTGTAGCTGTGGGACAGGGCCTGGGGGTGTGTGGGGGGGTGTTAGGTCCCGGGGTTAGACTTAGGCTCAGATTTAGTTTCAACTCGTTGTTGTAAACAAATTCCCGCCGACGCCATTTCCTTCTTAGCGGCATTTCGGCGAAGCCGTCTGAGTGATCTTCAGCAAATTCTCGTCGACCGATTTCCAGAAGTGCCGCGCTGCGCACTGAAGTTCTTATCGGTACCTTAAGATCGTTGCCTCGTGAAAATCAAACGGGAATGGCTTACTCAACCACTTCACTCGATCCCGCT